AAACCCTCAGTGATAGCTAAGGGTTTGATTACAAAAACTCTCAAATGAATCCAAGAACTTTAAACACAGTATTCCAAACAGGAACCTGCAAAAAGGGAATTTAGAAACAGATGTAAATTTTTTCACTAAGAGGAAGGACTGAAGAAGGATCATCAGTGGGCTCAACTGGAACACCATCGCCAACAGAAGCGGGTTGATTTTCAACCATTGAAGTATCAATAGACAACAGTTTCAACTTGACTTGCAACAAGAGGCACGATTGAGCTTGAAGAGGGTGCACCACCCGAGGCAATTTTAGTGTTCATGGGGACTTCAACTGCAAATTTCAGCCAAGGGAGCCTCACTCACGAACTTCACCCACGGGAACATCAACTCCGGGAACTTCAGTTTCGAAAACTTCAATCGTCGCGGGTGAAGGGAAGTCCAGTGGTTGTTGAGCTTTTTCAATAGTCTCCATCACCTTAGCTAACTATGACTCCAGATTAAAGGTTTTCTTGGCTAGCTTCAACTAAAGCATCACGATGGGAGTTCAGAAAAGCCCAGCTTACATCAACTGCAACCTTATCTTCAAGAAGCTCATAATCTCTTTCCCAAGCAGCAATTTCATTTTTGAGACCTTCATTTTCATTCAGGCTGAGTTATAAGAAGCTTGGAGAGAGGCATGAGATTTTTCCAAGGACTGCACCTTGTCTTCAGAAGTTCGCAGATCTTCTTGGGTCTGAGTCAAATTTTGCATCAAATCTCCAGCATAAATTTCTTTTTGACTTAAAAGAGCTCTCAGCTCTCTAATCTCTTCACTTGTCTTAGATAATTGTTCTGAGAAAGAAGACTCGAGACGCTCTCTTTCTTTCTCAGCCTGACTTGAAGAAGCTTTGACAGCCGCAAGCTCTGAAGTTAATGCTTTTACCTGCTGTTCCAGGTTATTCTTGTTCTCTTGCAAATCTTCTATAGTAATTTGAGCACTATCAAATTGTTCCTTCCAATTAGCTGCTTCCAACTGAAAGTCACGAGCTTCCCTCTATGAATCAAGAACAGCCTTTTTCAGAGTCACGTGCCACCTTCTCTAATAAAGAAACTCTGCTCATCAGCTTTGTACCAATAAGGTTGGCCTGAAAATGATAAGGGAAGAAAAATTAGAATTCTAGAAAAATTCTGACAAATTAAAGAAAGAAGGGACATACCTTCAAGGTGGAATGAACTATGTCGTTCATCGGGGTCAGACAACTATGGCTATTCAGTTTTTCTTTCTCAATTGGGCCTATTAAAGGTTCAAGCCAAACATTCGCCTGACCAGAATTCCTCAAAAGACGTTGTTAGCAGGAACTTCGATAGTCACGTTCCTCATAGCAATCCTTCTACTTGTAGAACCCACTTCTGTATTATGGACAGTAGAAGGAGGAGCGGTAGAAGAAGTAAAAATAGCAGAGGGAGGTTCTGGAAGCAGATGGAAGCAGGTAAGGAAGGAACCAAAGGCACGACAGAAGAAGGAAGAGAAGGAACTGAAGATATGGGAGTTGAAGAGGAAGATAGGGGAGGTTCATCCAAAACAGGTCCTAACTCACCACTCTCAAAACCACTAACAAAAAGCTGGTTAATCGACTCATGAGTGTCATGAGGGGTGGCAACGTCATCATGAGAGACAAGATTAACAAACCCGGTAGGAGAAAGATGATGAGAAACTTCAGCTTCGTCAGAGACGATACGTCTCCTAACTCTTGGCCTTGTCACCAAGGAACCATCCTCCTCTTCTTCGTCGGAGCTATCATCGTCTGTGGTTTTTCTTTTCAGAAGAATATCCTGAGCACTTTCTATGGAAAGTTGGGTTCCTAAACGAGAGGCCGCAACTGCTTCAGCAGTAACACCTCGAATAGCAAAACCTGACAAAGAGAAGGTTGAAAGTTAAAGCAATAAAGGGAAAAAAATTTACATATGAGAAAGACAAAAACTCATACCGTGAGTCTTTACTTTCCAACCATGACAATTGGAAATAAATTTCCAAGACCTAGCCTCCATAGGCGCGATCTTCAACAATTTATCTACCCAACCACGAAAATTGGGAATGTTCTCCACAACTCCCATGGTTGCTAAAAAAAGAGGGAAACAAAGTTAAAGAAATTGATAAACTCGAAGGAAAGAGGTACGAGAGAGATGAGAGACTTACGTGCAAAGTTCCACTTCTCAGGGAAGGGAACGTTTTGTTCACCCACTAAACCAACTGTGGGGTCAGCAACAAATTGGGCATACCAGCCACGATCCTTATCATCTTCTGGGCTCACCAAAACCCTCATACTCCTATCCACTAAGGTAAAGACGCCATTACGAAAAAGTCTAGGGGAGTATAGATGAATTAGGTGAGGGAAGGTGAAATTAACATCTGCCAAATTGGCCAGATGCCTTAAACAAGCAACAACCCTCCATACCAGCGGGCCAATCTATGCTAAACAAACTTTGAAGAAGCGACAGAAATCAAGAATCACTGGATCAATAGCTGGTTTAAAACCAAGAGTAAAAGGGTATGTGTAAACAAAAGAAAGACCAGTCATATAGGAGGTAATTCTTTGATTTGGATTGGGGATTACAATGGGAAAATCATTACTCCAGTGACAATCTTTACGGACTATGGGAGCTAAAATTTCTGTAACCAAAGTGGGGTAAGCATCGGTACGATCTAGACCAGAAACTTGGGTTTGAAGTGATTGTCTATCGTGGTGAAAAGATAATCGTTAGGGACTATCTCTTCTACCAAGGGCTCCTGTAATGGTTCAGAGGCCTCCTTGCTCTTAGAAGATGATTTTTGGGTAAAAGAACCTCTAGTTCTAGAGGAAGAACCAGGGCTAGGAGAAGGCATGGCAAAACGGCCACCACGAGAGGATCCTAAGCTACGAAGTCTCCCACCTCTTCTATGTCTAACAGGGGCATTGGGAAAATTGTCTAAAATAGGAACTCTCTTAGGGTTAGGGTTCGAAGAAGACATGATGAGGAAGAAGAAGAAGTAAACAGAGATTTGCACAGTTCAAGTGTTCGAGAAAAAAAGTTTTATGTGCTAAAAGGTGAAAGGAAAAATCGTATTTATACTGATGGGTGACCGTCAAAAGTAAAAATGCAGTAATGGAAGGGTCACAATAATGGTAACTGGTCATGAACAGTGGAGCCGAAAAGAAAGCCTGAGAAAGTGTTGTAAAACTGTGGAACCAATAAGAAGATGACACGTGTTTAAAATATTAAATAGAAGTGATGATTGAAGCGTCAACTCTGTCAGAGCATTAATGCTGACAAAAATTCTCCTTTAATGAATTCCACTTCCCAAATATTCAAACTGATGAATAAATGGAAAGTGGAGGGACTATCTGTATTGGGAAAAATTGTATTTATATATATATATGGTGACGTGTCATGACACGTAGACTGGTCAAACAGTCAAAGAATTAAGGTTGGTTAACAAATACGAGCAACAACAGATACGAGCAACAGCACATACTAACAAGTTAAATGGAGAAGGCACGAGCAGTCATACAAGTAATTCAACGCTCGTACCTATTCAAGACATTTAAAGGTCAAAGATTGTGAAGAGTCAAAGGAATGAATCTGACAGCAAAAAAAAGCCTAGATACAACATTCAATGAGTATTAAATACTGGAAATGTTAGAGAATATGTATTTAACATATATGATTGCATAACGTAACATTTAAAGTCATTAATTGCCCATAATTGTCTTATTATAACAAAGGTAAAGTCTGTGTTCCCAAAATGGCTATAAAAGGAAAGTCACAAATAGCTGTAAGCACGAAAAAATACTATTGGAATATACTTTGATTTACTTGCTTTCTGATCATATTATTCACAAATTCCTTTCTTTATATACTCTTTTCCGATTATCAGTAACCCGTGTTCTTCTAAATTCAAGCTTTGACCTAAAATCTAATTTTTGGTTAAACAGTTTGTGCTTCTAATATGGTATATATATATATATATATATATATATATATATATATATATATATACAGATATAAAACAGAGATATAGATTTAAGAGGGGAGAGGGGGATACTTTAATTAATCGTAGGCCTTCCACGTGTCTGAGCCGAGAGTCTATTAGAAAAGAGCCTCTCTATCCTCACAAGGTAGTACATTTCCAGACTATTGGGTATGTTGTTGTTGTTGTTATTGTAGGCCTTACGTGCCTATTTTAGTGCTGAACACGGTTATTAACGAATGGGGCATATTTGGTCTATAGTATAACTGTATGGACTTTTATATAGGAATAGTGAAATAAAGGGTAGTAGAATAGATATGAATAATATTTGAAAGTAAATGGGTAAATATTGTATTTGAAAGTAGCAAATGTGACTCATTTTCTACGGGAGAAATTCAAAAATAGCCAGATTTATCACTGGTCGTTGAAAAATAGCCAAGTTTCAAAAGTCATCGAAATTTAGCCACTTTAAATCTGAGCGAAAACACTGTTCAAAATCCGGAAAAATACGCCCGCAAATTTTACGGGAGTTCCAGCATAAGTATGCTGGAACTCCCATAAATTTTACGGGAGTTCCAGGATAACTATGCTGGAACTCCCGCAAATTTTACGGGAGTTCAAGCATAATTATGCTGGAACTCCCGCAAATTTTACGGGAGTTCCAGCAAGTATAATTATCCAGTATAATATACTGGAGTTTGGAGCACTGGTGCTCCAATCTCCCGCAAAATTTACAGGAGTTAGCAAAGTATACCGGTCCAGCATAATATGCTGGAGTTCGTACACAAATGCACCAGAACTCCCGTATATTATACTGGACCGGTACCTGTTGCGGCAAAATAGTGGCTATTTTTCATTGACTTGGTAAACGCTGGCTATTTTTCATTGACCAGTGTGAAAACTGGCTATACCATGATATTTTAACATTTTCTACGGATAAAAAAATATGACCCGTTTCCGTATCCTAAAATTAGGGTTCACTGGAGAAGTCCTTTCAGAAATTCGAGAGATTCCTTAGCCATTGAAGATGACGAAAATTTCTCTGTTGCGTTACTCTTGCAATAGTATTCCCTTTATCTCATTTTCTGCTATTACACGTATTGGTTGGGCAATTTCAATTCGAGATTATTCTTCATCTCATAGCAATACATCCATTCCGACAAAGGGTAAATTTGGGGCAACAAGAAGGTTTGATAACGTCATGTGTTTAGATAATGCTGTGAGTCTCTTTAATCGAATGGTAAGAACGCAGCCTCTTCCTTCTGTTTTCGACTTCTCGAAATTATTAAAGTCTATGGTAAATATGAAGCATTACTCTGTTGTTGTTTCCCTTTTTGAAGAAATGCGAAAATTGCGTATCCCAATTAATGGTTTCATCTTGAATATTGTGATTAACAGTTATTGCCTAATGCATCGCTCTGACTGCGGATTTTCGGTGTTAGCCATTTACTTGAAGAGTGGAATTTCATTTGATATTGTGATCTTTAGTACCTTAGTAAGGGGACTCTTTGCTGAAAATAAGATAAAAGATGCAGTTACCTTGTTTAAAAAGTTGGTGAAAGAGAATATTTGTGAGCCTAATGAAGTCATGTATTCGACCGTCATGAATGGGCTTAGCAAAAGGGGCCATACTAAAAAAACTTTTGATTTGCTTAGGGTAATGGAACAAGGGAACATTAAGCCCGATCCGTACATCTATAGCATTGTTATACATGCCTTATGCAAAGATAGAATGGTAGATGCTGCAATTAATCTTTTGAATGAGATGAAACAAAAAGGCATCACTGCGGACATTGTCACGTATAATTCATTGATTGATGGTCTCTGTAAGTTTGGACAGTGGGAAAAGGTTAGGACTTTGCTCTCTGAAATGGTAAATTCGAATATTTATCCAAATGTGCACACCTTGACCATAGTGACAGATGGACTATGCAAAGAGGGAAAAGTCGAAGATGCTGAGGAGGTAATGAGACACATGATTGGAAAAGGTGTAGAGCCAAATATAGTCACCTACAATGTTATAATCGACGGATATTGCTTGCGCGGCCAAATGGATAGAGCAAGGAGAATTTTTGAATCGATGATAGATAAGAGCATTAAGCCTGACATTGTTAGCTATAGCACATTAATAAATGGATATTGTAAGAACAATAAATTGGATGAGGCCATGGACTTATTTCATGAAATTTCTCGAAATGGATTGAGATCCGACATTTTCACCTACAGTATCATTTTGAAAGGACTATTTGATGTTGGAAGAACTGACTTTGCGCAAATTTTTTTTGTTGAGATGCAATCTACAGGGCTCAAACCTAATTTTTGCACTAATCTTATTTTGCTCCGTGGTTATTTTCATAATGGACTTGTCGAGAAAGCTATGTCGCTATTTCGTAAGTTGGAAATACAGAGAGAAGATACTGATATTGAATTTTACAATGTTGTAATTAACGGATTGTGCAAAAATGGTCAGCTCGACAAAGCTCGTGCTATTTTTGAGAAGCTTTCCTTAATTAGATTGTTTCCCGATGTGATAACATACAATACAATTATAAATGGATTTTGTCTAGAAGGATTGTTAGATGATGCTAAAAATATGCTAAGAAAAATGGAGGAGAATGGTTGTTCGCCAAACAATGGCACCTACAATATTATTGTGCGAGGATTTCTAAAGTTTAGCAAAATAAGTGAAATGACAACTTTTTTGAAGGAAATGACCGAAAGGGACTTCTCATTTGATGCAAGTACTGTAGAGTTACTAATAGATGTTATAGCGAAGGGTCCTTCTTTGCTTAACATGATACCACAGTTTCCCTTGGGAAATAAGAAGTGATATTTATTTCATTTGATTTATTCAGCTTTGCATGTCACTATGACACAATTTCCTTTTACTCTGCAAAAGAACTCACATAAACAGAATTGCGGAAGCTGAAAGAATATGGTTATTAGAACATTGCTTGAGTCCTAAACTTTTTCCTTCTGTTCCAAACCTTGCTGCAAGCAGTTGATTCACTAGATGTTTCACATGTACAATTTTATAGTAAATTACATGTTTCTCTGCTTATTATTAGGTGGTTCACTTAAAACTATAGCATGTAGTGGACTATCCAAAATTGAGGAAGCACGCCAAAATCTGCAGGATCATCTAAATACTTCTGACCTCAAGTGAGGTGAAAAGCTTAAGATGGTTTTTCTCTTACACTTGATATATAGTACACTTATTTATTTATTTATTTATTTATTTGAGATTTTGGTTTCATTACGATTGAGATTGCTTCTTATTCATTTAAATACTTCTGACTAATGTGATTGGCTTGTCATTACTGGTTCTGATGCAATTAAATATTCATGTCTTTGGCAGATGAAGAGGAGGTTGATCACTCTAAGCATATATCTCGACAGGCCATTGGTGCGGAAAAGGTTACTACGACTATCTGTTTCTTTCCTTTGGGATTTAATCAGTTGTAATTTTTCTTGAATAATTGCAGTTTACCCCTTAGATACATGTATATATGGAGTAGCTAAAGATAATACACCTATTTTCAATCTGAAAATAAGCACACCAATTAGGGTAGTTCACATTGCAAATTTACCAACTGCTTAGCTGCTTATAACTAATGAATTATGTTGATCCTTTATGTGTACATGAAAGTAGGTCATGAAAAGTTCTATCGACATATTGTCACTTTTGATGATTGAGTAATCACGCCCAACTCTAGTCCTAAAAAGGATAAGCGGTCGCTGCTGTTGGACTTTAAGCATTGGGCTTTAAAGACTTTAAGCATTGGGCTTTAAAAGTCTAAGAGTGTGAATTGGAAATGGTGGGAAATAAAATGGAGGGAAATGAAAATTTGAATGAAGTGAGCTTTTGTCTTGAACTTTGTCCCTCATTAGTGAGGGACAACTACATTTGTGTGTATATATATAGGATCACTTCTTAGAGCTCTTAAAATGAGTTGAAGAGAATGAACCCTCGCGCCGTCGTTGTCGCTCGCTCATCTCGGCTTCGGCTTCGGCTTCGGCTTCGGCTTCGGCTTCGGATTCGGAAAATGATCGATAAGATTATTTTTGGATAAAATTTATTTAATTAATTATTTAATAATTAATTAAAAGCCAGTCAGATAATTAACGAAATTAACTGAAATCTGGAATCCAAAAACGATGAACGTTAATATTTCCCTTCTGAACAGACACTTTTCCTGAACAGACATCACACCTCTCCGATAATTGCCTATAAATTCTGAGGCATGGATGCATTTTCGACACACTGAAAAAATTACAGAACTTCCTTCCTTCTGAAAATCCTGCATTCTATTTCGCAGAATCTCTTCTAAATTTCGTAAGTGTGATTTTGCTCCGTTCTTTGAGTTCGTTGGTATCCTGCAGTTTGTATTGTCACTGTTGCAGGAAGGTTTATTCCGTTTCATCCTGGGAGGATTTAATCCATTACCTTGGCAACATGTGAGGGGGTTAAAATTCCTTAAGGACGCACAAGCAAATTATGGACTCGGAATATCTTTTATACTTTACTGTTTTCCTGGTTTTTTTTTCTTCCAACAGTCTTTCTGATTTTGTGTTTTAACACAGTAGCATTTACAGCTGCAAATATAATTCGATCTGAAAGTCCGGAGTCGAATCCCACAGAGAACTAAGGTTTCGCTGTAATTGTTCAATATCACAAAGAAGACAAGTTTGAACAATTTCTAAATTATAATATTAAGATTTTTATATCTAACTAATTAACCAACAAATACTATAAAACGGTAAAATTATCAACTAACGAGACAAAGGTTTGGAGACTAAATTAAGGAGGTCTAGAGTTATGATTTCCCCAACTGTTGATTTCATTAATTGTATGTTTCTTATAGCTTTGACTTAGTTGCCTCTATCAATCATGAACTCTCCAGCTATCATAAATCTCTCTCAAGCAATTATGATAATTTACTAGACGCACTCTCTCAAGCTACGCTAGCTAGATTCACATTACAGTTCACTTAGATCGCACCCGAGGTATCGTTATCTCTAATCCAACCTCTAAACCCTCGGTTATGTCTCGCCTATACTCCGGGAGTGATGTTGTTCAAACAACTACCTAAATATGCACTCTCTCTCAAGCAGATACATAATAAATAGGAACGGCTAATTGAGGATCCTTTCAATTAACCAAAATCAAAACGTAGTTGAACAAATAGAGATTAACAACTAACTCAAAACTATATTAATATAACAACTAATTCATCCCCAAAAGGTTCCATCAAAACTCTAGATAATAAATTAGCTATTCATAAAAGTATGTGAAAACACAATACTCCAATTCATAACCAACAATAAAATAGGAAGAAGAAGGGGAAAAACTCGTAGTTAAATCTTCCTCCTTGCTCCTAGCGTGTTCTTGCCTCCAAGGGTGTTGTCTAACCCTAAAGTAGTGTCTCCTCCCTCAAAGTGGTGTTTTAGGATGTATTTATATAACCTAGGGTTGATGAGGGGCGGAATTCTTCAATCCAACTTCGGATGGGAGAGCTGGAATCCGCGTCTGCCTTCGCGTCGAGACGCGGACTTTGACGCGGATCCGCGTTTGCCTTCGCGTCTAGACGCGGACTTTGACGCGGATCCAGCTTTTGAGATTCTTCCATTTCGCGAAGCGCTCCGTGCCTTTGCTTCGCTTCGCTGTTTTGTGCCTTAACTTTTCTCCTTTTTCGCGTCCGACTTCGTGCCACGCACGAAATAGACGAGCTCCCACTCCTTTAATTTCTTCTTTTTGTGTCGAATTGTCATCTTTTAATCATTTATCATCCAAACTCGTTCCTACACATAAGAAATACATAATGAGTATATTTCATTTAGAAAATCATGTAATCTCCCGCGACACACACAAGAATTAATATGCAAATATACTAAAAAATATGCACTTTTCATCATTTATCATTGAGCTCCCTCCATTCCACTTTGCTTGGCATTATGTTTTATTAGTCTGGTTAAAACAAATTACATATTTCATTATTTACTTAATGAGAAGTTTTTATAGCCACACAAATATTATGTAATATTTAAGATCACGAGTTTTAAAAGGCTACATTTTTTTATTAAACATTATGCCAAGTCAAACTATAACAAACAAAATGAAACCGAGGGAGTATATCATAGCAAATGGATTCAGGGAATGCAGTATTATCATATGCTCATAAATATATCAATAGAAATAGAAACGTATATAAGGCGATACTCCCTTCTTCTAAAAGTTGTCTTATTTCACTTCTCTTGAACCAAAGTCTAATTTTGGTATCAGTTACTTCTACTCTGCTTACTGAAGGTTGCACAGATGCACGGTCCATTTCTGGTGGTCAAGAAACATTCAGAGGTCCGTCTTATTGTTCTCACTATGTACTCATTCCGACTAATGTGATTGGCTTATTATTACTGGTTTTGATGCAACTAGGTATTCATGCCTTTGCAGATGAAGAGGAGATGGCTCAATCTGAACATTGCTCTCCACGGTCCGTAGGTGCTGAAAAGGTAATGCATCTCCAATTTAGCGGGACGTGCAAGAGCTCAATTTAAATGAGAAAGTCTTCTTCAGTGAAATCTTTGTGCCATTTGCCTTGAGAAACTATACTGTCAGCTGCAATGACACCATCTTGTATCCCTACAGCCTCGAATGCAAATTCTAGCGCGAGGAAGATTGCAAAAACCAAAAGTTACCTCCTTTGTAACGAGGTCAGAGTGTACAAATCCAGATATAGGTGCAGCTTGGAGTCCCCCAATGAGAAGTATAGCTGATCATGTATTACAATAGAGGCATGTTACTTACGTTATCGTGTCTAAAACGCAGAGGCTAAAACGAATCAAGAATAATTATAGCTATCTGTTTGAAGTATTTTTATATTTTTGTTTGTGGAACATTAAAGTGTTTGTGGAAGTTAAGTGGTATTATTATGGACGTATCAGGGTATTCTCTTTTTCTTTTACTTCCCCTTACACACACTCTCTTTGTCTCTCTCTATGGCATGTGAAGTTTAACGATAACAAGTTTCCAATTATTGAAAGGTGCCATTTTTTTTGAAATATAGTAAAGGAAAGAGTATTATATGAAATGGAACACATGAGTACTATATACTTTGCAGAAAACTTAAATAAAATTTTATGACATCGGGTGTTGGAGACCCATCCCATACGTATATATATTGCTATTTTTGGAACATACTGAAGGAAAGTTTGCTGTATGAAATGGAACAGAGGAAATATATATACACGCTATTTTTGGAACATACTAAAGGAAAGTTTGCTATATGAAATGGAACAGAGGAAATATATAGTTTATAGAAAACTTGAAGACATATATTAAGACTAGAAATGAACTCATATGAACGGCATGGATAGTGAGGGTTTATATAATGGACACCTTCATTTATATATAAGAACGACACCTCGGCGGAGGAGTAGATGCGCTGGTCCCCTTCGGTCAACTTGCTTGTGCTTACTGTTACCTACTGTAGGACCTCCGTCCCTGAAGCGAAGAAAGAGGACCGGGAACAAGAGGTTGTCCTCTCCCGACCCAGTAGTTCCGCAACTACTACCGTGGTTATTGCCAACGGGGATCCATTAGATGCTGTCGGTCGTCATATCTTTGAAAACTCAAACGTAAAGAATAAACGAACTCCTCTGTAACGACCCGACCCGTCGTTACGGGAGTTACCGCCCTGTTTTCCTCGTTTTATGCTTCTATATGTTTCATTATATGTGTTTGGAGAATTTGAAGTAATTTGGTTAGAGTTCGGTTAGAAATGAGACAATAAGTCTCTTTATGAGAAGGATTATTTGGAAAAGTCAACCGAA